GCTCTAACTGGACAGATCCTGTGTAGCTTTTTTTCTTTTAAATCACTGTATACTCAGTTAATATGCCAGGGGCTGACACAGTACATTTGTTGAAGGAGTGAAGAAAACCCCCAGATAAAGAAACCAATGCTGAGAGGACCATAAACTGACCCCAGGAGTGGGAGTGGCCTGGGGCTGAGGGGTGAGTGCTGAGAAATTGGGAAGTCCTGCAGCAGTGGGGTAAAGATTCATGCGGGACTTGATTTTGGTTTTTGAGTGGGATGGGTGGGGACTGAATCATCAGCATGGAAGATGAGGGTGGGGTTTAGTGGTGAGAGTTTTTTGGAAGGAGAAGGAGGGATGAGAAATTAAAACCAGTCTTCCTGTTTATTTTTAGGCATTAAATAAGTGAGCTCATCTAATCCTAACCACCACCCATATTAGGAAAAATCAAATCAATGTCCGAGGTCACACACTAGTGAAGTCATAAAGCAAAACTTTACCCACCCAGGGACGAGTCCTGGGTTCTAGAATTCAGAATCCTTGTCTGAGAATATTATCTATTTCTCTGGCAAAATTCTCTTCCAAGGTTTCCTTTTAACTTTTTTTTCAATCTTCCTCATCATTCTGAATATCAATGGTTTTCAGTTAATGGCAACCACTGTTAAATGTAAAAACCCCGCAGCACACCACAATGGATTCATTCATCCGTTCACTCATTCTTTCAAAATATTGAATGTGCAGCTACTAAGTGCTGGGCACCATGCTAGGTGTCGGGGATTCGGCAATAAAAGAGAAAAAGAGAGGATGCTTGTGCTTTTATAAGTAGGCTGAGTATTTTTACTGTTTGTTACTGCTAATAGCTCTGAAGGTTTCAATCAAGCTTAAAACATTCTGTCTGAAAGATTCCTATGAGAATCTTCTTTACCTGATTATTTATCTAAGACGTACATTCCAGTGTCCTGCTAAGGAAATTGATGTACATTTTACTGGATAAATAGAAATATTGTTTGGAATAAAAACAGTGGAAGCACATCTATAGCTAAACATCTCCTGGGGAGTCTCTGCTTTTAATTTCTGGTGTGCACGTGGATCTCAATAAGGGGAGATTAAAGGATCTTCTAATAATTTAGCACTGTTGGCTCAGGACAAGGTTCTGAAAGTAAATCTGGACCTATTTTCCCTAAGGACACTACCATCACTTTAAATCTGGGGGGCCACCAGAATGCTGGCTGCATCCCAGTGTTACTGCTGGGATGTTGAAGTGATGGGGGAAACAGTAAAATCTGCAGACGGATGCACCTCCTCTTCTCACCACAAGTTGCTCATGGATGGATGAGCTGAGGCCAGGTAGTGGCTTGAATTAAATTCCAAGTGCTTCTGGCGCCCTTGGCACCATCCGATGCGGACTGTGGGGACTTGCTTATGGAGCAGAGTCTAGTTTAGCTGTATGTCAATAGGGGCCTCTGATGGAAGACTCTGGATGGAAATGGTACCAGGAATCATCAGGTTGGGTTGTGAGTGTTGGCGGCCGCCAGGCATCAATCGGCAGGTGATTGGACAGGTCCTGCTGCAGTAGAGCTATGGGACCACAGGAGATGAATTTTGTTTTCATTGTGAGGGTGGGGGCTGAATCATCAGAATAGGAGCTGAGAATCCTAACGTTTTTGGAAGGAGAATCAACCATGGAGAAATGAAACCGATCTAACCAATTGTTAGGCATTTTCACAATTTAGCTCATTTAATCCTAACCACCACTTTAGATAAGGAAACCTAGGATCACACACCTGGTGCGCAGCACAGTGGGGATTTGAACCCAGTTCTCCCTGACCTCAGCAGAGGTGCTCTTTCCAGCTCTAGTCCGAGAGGCAGGGCATTCCTAGTTTCGCTTGGTATCTATCCCCTATCTTCCTTCTCAGGCATTTTCTCATTCCTCTGCCTATTGCAATTCATGTTCCTGTCTTCTCTCTTTCTTCTTTAAGTAATTACAATTTGTAGCAACTCTGTTTATTACACAAAACCAATTTTATTTTATTTTTTTAGAAGATTTTATTGAGAGAGAAAGTGTGCATGCGTGAGCAGGGGTAGGGGCAGAGGGAGAGAGAGAGAGAATCTCAAGCAGACTCTGCACTGAGCGTGGAGCCTGACGCGGAGCTGGATCTCACGACCCTGAGATCATGACCTAAGCCGAAATCAAGAGTCTGATGCTTAACCAACTGAGCCACCCAGGCCTCCCTAAACAAAATCAATTTTAAAATTAGAGTAGTTGAAAATTTTATAATCCTTTAAAACACAAGACTCCCACTCTTGTAAAATTAGGGAAAAGTTGTCTTGTACTTACTTATGCAAAGCCTATTGCCCATTTTTCTCTCTTTCTTTATCGATCATTATGTTTAAGGGAAACAGTGGGTCAGTGGATATATGATCAAAATATTAGAGTTGGAAGGTGGAGAAACTGCCAACACCAAGAAGCCTAGTGACTTGTTTAGAATAAAATAGCTAGTTCTTGAATGATCCAAATAATGGAGGGCAAGAGTGAAAGTGGGAAAATCCTGAGTTTACAAAGAAAATTGAGTTTCAAAAGTTTGTTTGTAAATCAGTTATTGGACATTTAGTATATTTCTTCAATGAAAAGAAAATTTTAAGTAGGAATGCCACCTGATTATCTCATCAGAAAATAGCCGAAATCTATTATTTGTACCCAAGAACAGTACAACAATCAACCCCAATTATTATGCAGTACTTAAATTTAACACAATATAAAGACAACACACTGAGTGAGAAGGATTTTAATTTTAAATGCATGAAAGAGAAGCTTAGGAGGATGAACGAGTTAACTGAAGGGTCTGGTGGAGATTCTGAGAATGATTTTTGGACACTGATCAGGGCCTTTTGGAAATGTATAATAGATAATTGTTTTTAAGAGATAGTAAAAGAAATCTTCTGAGTGCCTACTATTTATTATACCCAGGAGTTTAAAAAAATCGGTCATTCAAAATCCATCAGTTAAATATACCATTCAAAGCAGCATCTAAGTGGCAGTTACTCTTTATGCACTTTTCCCTCCATGCACAAAAGAGCACTTTCCTTCTTTTGGTTTTGCTGTTCACCTAACCAGGGACCATCCTTTCTTTTCTTCATTGCCCTATAAATTATCCTCCTTCAAAGTCCAATTCAAATGTCATATCAATTTTTAGAATCCTCTGACAAAATATTAGCGGTCCTTCCTCTGAAACCAGTTGCATTTTGATTGCATTTCTTTTATGATGTACAGTTTGTCTCCTGTTTTAGTTTGGGGGTGCCCCATAAATAGTGGTCAAATACAATTAAATTGTAATAATTCAGGTTTCTCCTCAAGAAATGCCTTCAGACTACCTTTGCAAAATAATGTTCCCACACCCCCAGTCCCTAGCCCTGCTTTATTTTCTTTATAGCACATATCATACTGGACATAATAGATATTTGTTTATTGCCTGTCTCCTCCACCAGAATTTCTGACCTACTTTCATTTCCCCAGTACCTAGAACTGTGCCTGGTCCAGAGTAGGGGTTGAATAAATCGATGTAACTGGAAGTGAAAGAAATACCAACTGGGATATATCAAGACACTGGTGCTGATCATTGATTGGTTCTATCAGTACTTAGCTGCAGGACACAGAGCAAGTCATTAACCCATGATGGGCATTTCCTTATAGAATCAATAAGATTGTTAGGTCTGATGTCATTTCATTACTCTGAGAGCAGGGCACAAGAGAGGCAATGAATAAATGGAGTTCAGGTAGATGTGTGTTGGAAAAAGAATGCTCTAGGCCAGTTACAGGAGCTACCCTTGGTGAGAGGCAGAAAGAAAGGACAAAGCATAAGTGAGGAGAGAAAGATGCGGAGAAAGGGCTGACTTCAGGTGCATGGGCCTGTCAAGAATGCTGGGGGAGCTGTGAAGTGGAGAGCTGGGGGCCATACAGAAATGTTGGGCTGCTTGAGGAGCTAAAAGGGGAGGGTATGTGTATGTTGCAAGCTCCACATACTTTTCAATTTTGGCTTCCTTTCCAGTAAACAAGCCCTCTGCTGTGATTTTGCCAGGGCCTGATTAAGCACGTGGCCCCCATGTGAAAGCAAATGAGATGTTCTATACCAAGAATCACATTAGTTCTCCATTTAATTTGACAAGGCTTCTTCTTTATTCCCCAAAGCAGACTAGATTCTAATCTCTTATCCTGAAACCTCCACAGCATTGCTCTTCTCATCTGCGAGTATGTGATCTTGTCTAGTGTTGCAAGCTTCTCCTCTTGCCTCGTCGCCCCTGCCCTGGCGCCTCTCCTGCCCTGGCGCCTCTCCTCCCCTACACTAGGAGGTCCACGGAGGACACTATCTTTGCTTTTTCTGAATCAGCCTAGTACAATATCCTGAGTCAGTCTCTGTCTCTCACTCTCTCACACTTAACATATTTCATACTCATTCTTAACATAGAGTATACCTCGAATTTAAGTTTCATTAAAGTTCTAGGCTGGTTTGTAAAATAGGAACTGACCCAGGCAGAGGTTTTGGAAATTTCCTACATAAGCTACCAAAGGGCTATATACATTTCAGAGAGGGCCCTGTAAGAAGTAACCACTGGCACTTTTTTTGTTTACTTAGACACACACTCAAAGCCTCACTCTTTTTTCTATACCGTAGTCAAAGAAACCCTGTCTTTGGCCACAGCGACCGTCTCGCCTTGCAAAAAGTTGGCTACGCCAAGCTGCGTCGGAGCAGCTCTGTGAGGCCACCATTCCTGCGGCCACGGAGGGAGGAGAAGCCCCAGCGCCCCAAAACCCAGAGTCCTGGACAGAGCCCCCACGCCCTTCCCGCTGCGCGAGCACAAGGCAGTCCTGCGGCCCTTCGGGAGCTGCGCCTTCTCCCGCTTCCAGAGTAGAGGCCACCCGGCCCCACCCAGGCTGCGGGGACTAAGACGAGCAGTGCCCCACGCAGGCGCACTGAGGCCGGGGAAGGGGCGGGCCCGGCTCGCGGGGCAGGCTGCGCGGGGGGCGGGGCGGGGAGGGGCGGCTGGTGTTTCCGTTGCTTGGAGTGGGCTGAGAGCTGCTGTCTGGAGCCTATTCTGCTCGCATCCCTACCCTCTCCTGCGCGCCGCCGCCTCGCGCTCCGCCGCTTTCTGGGAGGTTCGGGGCACTTAGGTCCTTCTGTCACCCTCAGGTGAGTGCTCGCCTAGCCGGGGGTGGGGGCTGCGTCCGGAGAGAGGAGCTGCGGGGAGGACCGGTCTGCGGCTCGCTAACCCGCGGTGTCTCTCTTGTCTTGCAGTTTTGCATCGCCTTCTCCTGACCTGAGCAGTCGCCATGGCACAGGTAGGGCCGTGCGCCCCTGGCGCAGCGCTCGTTATTTGCCAACTTTGTTCCCTGTGTCAAGGGAGTTCTAGAATTTGTCTGAAAGCCAAAAAAGTTTAGGAGTAAACAAAATCTGCCTTCGATAAATCTGTTACACCTTTCTTGTTTCTCCTTTCGTTGCTCCCCCCTCCAACCCCTTTTCTGTGTCCCCGGCTTCTTCCCGTCCAGTGCCCGCCGGAACCTGCTCCGAAGCAGCCGGTGGGGCACAGCAGCCGGTGACGTGGCCGGATTTGTGTGCCTTCCCTTTTTGTGAGTGAATGTGTAAAAATGCGCCCTCCCCCAAATCCAAAGAACCGCTAAAATTAGAACCAGAGCAGGAAAAGCTCTTAGCGGTCAAGTGAGACGAACGCGTTTTTTTCCCATGTCTTTCTTTTTCTTTCTTTGCATGCCTGCCTTCTTTCCTTCCTTCCTTCTTTCCTCTCCTCTTCCTTTCCCCCGCCTTCGCCTCCCTTCCCCTCCCATCTCCTCCCTTCCCCTCCCTTCTCCTCCCTTCCCCTCCTTTCCCTGCCTTTTCCTGTATTATTTAAATACTACAAGTGGGCATGGCTTTTTCCAGCAGCGCTCTAGTGAGCTTTTTCCAGTTGCTCAACCCAATTTTACTGAAAGGAACTGTTCCTTGTAGGCACTGCTTCCCCCCCCACCCCGCCCCGCAAAAGATTAAACAGAAGAGCGGCGTTTCTTAAGTAACTCGTGAAACGAGTTCTAAATTGAATTTGCCTTGGGATTGTTTCAGAACTTGGTTACCTAATATTGGTCTTTTTTTGCGCTTAACATTTGTCAAAAATACCAGAAAGAAAAAAATCATTCATATTAAAAAAAAAAAACCGACCGTGTTGTACAGTATTTTGTGAATAAAATATCAGTGCTAACAACTCCACCTCAAAACTAATTTTACAGATCTCGGCAATCAAACTGGCTTGTCAGAGTCCAGATAATTTTTTGAAAACCAGTATTTTAACTGCTCAATGTCCTCTCTTTATACTCTTCATTTATTAAATCAAAACAAAACAAACAAAACTGACTTATCAAAATTGAGTAAAGTTTCAGGGTCCTTTCCAAGAGAACTTGGGAGGATTATGATGACCTGGTAACTTTATTAAATTTCTACAGTGCTTCCATTCTTACTTCCTCTTTTGCACTTAGGAAACATTACAATAAACCAATTCTCCTGTTACTTCAAATGGAAACTTTGGTTTAGGTTCTTCCCCGTATAAAGGATACTTTTATGTGGAATTAAGTTTCCTTCACTAAGAGTCGTTTTTCTTATCTTGATATGCTGGTGTGGTGATGTAAATGATGACTGATCAGGCATCAAAGAATAATTCCCTTTATTCTTGCTCATTTGGCTGTTTCTTGAATCTCTTTTGTAAGTTGACCCAGTGATGTCTGAAGTTTTTCAATCAATTCCTTCTAATTATGTAGACTCCAGATAGCACAAACGAACACGCTTTTCCAATTGTGGACATTAATAATTTTGAGCTATGGAAAGTGTAAAGGATGTTATATATACAAAACCTGGGAGAATGGTGGTTTTCATGATAGAATTGGGTGCATGATCTCTATCACAGTACAACTCCAGGACTGTTTTCTATCAAAACCACAGTGTTTAGTCATCATAAAAGTTACAAGTAATGTTAAGAAAGATACAGTGTTGAATTTTGCACTTTGTTATTAGTGCTCCTTGGAAACCATGGAAGTAAAACATTTTGTTAAAAGGTTTTTTTTTTTTTTAAAGATTTTACTTATTTGACAGAGACACAGTGAGAGAGGGAACACAAGCAGGGGAGTGGGAGAGGGAGAAGCAGGTTTCCCGTGTGGAGTAGGGAGCCTGATGCGGGGCTCTATCCCAGGACCCTGGGATCAGGACCTGAGGCTTAATGACTGAGCCACCCAGGCGTCTCCAAATTTTGTTAAAATATTAACATTAAGATAGAGTTTTGTTGTTTTTATACTTACACATTTGGTAGGATGCAGAATGCGCACATTAAGGACTTGCAGTGTTACTGTCAAAAAATTCCCGGGGCACTTGGGTGGCTCAGTTAAGTGGCTGCCTTTGGCTTGGGTCATGATCCCGGGGTCCTGGGATTGAGCCCCACTTTCTTGTCTTTGCTCAGCCTGGAGCCTGCTTCTCCCCTTCCCTCTGCCTGCCGCTCTACCTACTTGTGCTATCTCTCTCTGTCAAATAAATAAATTAAATCTTTAAAAAAAAATTCCCTTGGACCCCGGTGTAATGGTAGGAAAGCTGAAGTAGTTTCAGTGTTAGGTTTCAAATGGTTTCTATGGTAGTGTGTTTTGTTGACCTGTGGTTATGGGAACCAGAGACCTCCACTCTGGCCATTTGGAGAGCAGTGAAATCAGATGCCTGAGACTTAGAGGTGCATCTTTCAGCCATTTAAAACGTATCATTAAATATTGTCTCTTATTTATTGAAGAACGAAAGTGTAGACTTCCACAGCAGTACATGTTTATAAACTGTACCTCCCCTACCAGTGTTTTGTCTTTTTACTTGACCTTGGGACCACCCTGCCAGTCACAGCCTGCAAAGATCCAGGAATCAATTGTATATGTAGCTTGTGGGCATGACCATCTTGTTAAGAATTTAAAGAGAAAGCACTGACTGATTGATCTTCGATAGATAGTTGGAGTTTCTGTTTTTATATGAAAAATATTACTAGGGATATTTTATACTCTTGTGTATATTTATATTAATATTTTTTGTTTATTTGTTATATAAATAAATTATAAGTTTTATCTCATAATTAATATAATTCATATCATTGCAAATTCTTAAAATTTTACCCTAATGATGTCAGTATAGGTGGACAAATCCATAACAGATATTGTGAACTACATAAAAAGTGATTTATATTATCATGGTGAGTAACTACATTCAGAGCTGGGGGTATTTGTGGAATAACCACCCCTTGAACTCTGCCCTTCTCTTTCTGGTCCTGATCCTCATCCACTAGCACTGAAACATGTGGGGGTCTACCAGTTGACTATTATTATGGAGAGAAGTAGTCTTAACATGAGGCTTCCCAGTCTTTCTCAAAGATAACACACTGGTTAACTGTATCTTTTCCATGACACGCAAGAAAAATAAGAATTACAAATGTACCTGCATGTAAACAGTTCCCGGACAATATTTATTTCTTTTTTACCTTTGAAATCATTCATTTGAATGGTTTTGTATTTGTCTGATTTGGAACCACAGCATCCGTGTTGTTTTGGAATAAACTTTGCTAAATGAATGATAAATTATTATGATTATTGGATCACTAACGTTTTCTAATGTACTAAATTTGGGTACAAGCTAGTTCAAGATACTTACTAAGGAATGGCCAAAGAGCTGTTAATTGCCTGAATTCTCTATATAGAGTATAATATTTTTTGAATCCTTTCATCTTTTTCTTCCAACAGTCAACTTGTGATTATATAAATGAGACTTTTTTTTAAAAATAAGTTTTTAGGGTCATTTTTCTCAATTTGACTTGACTTGACCATACTTTGGGTTGGATTTCTTAAACTGGGTCCTGACCTGTTTCTCTCTTACTGCTTAACTTGCTCATGCGGGTTTTTAAAATCTCACTATTTAGCTAGAGCCAAATTATTTCACAGGTATTCTAATTTATTTTAGGAACTTAAAAGTACATTCTGTACTTCTGTATTCCTTGGTTTGGAAAAATCAGGAGTCAGCCATATTTCAAAGATGAATGATCCATTTAATACATTATAATTCGAGTCTGTAATTTTGTTTATGATAATCAAACTTTAAAAGGATAGATTTTGGGGAGGCACCTGGGTGGCTCAGTTGGTTAAGCATTTGCCTTTGGCTCAGGTCATAATTCCAGAATCCCAGGATGGGAGCCCTGCCTCATTGCACTCCCTGCTCAGCTGGGAATCTGCAGCTCCCTCTCTGTCTGCCCCTCCCCCCTCCTCATGCTCTGTCTCTGCCACTCTCTCAAATAAACAAATAATTTTTCTTTAAAAGATAGATTTTGGGCAATCTGAACTTAGCTTTATAATGTTTATAGAGTTAATATATTTGAAGCAGCAGGAATGTCATGAAGCAAAATCAGGCAACATAATTTTTCACTGGAAACTTCATGAACATCAGATTTCTCTCCTCCGTACATAAATTGTGCAAGGTTTGCTTAGACATTTTTTTGGTTGGTTTGAAATCATTGTACTGTGATAATTTATAAAGTGCCTGTGCAGAACAAGCAGGATCAATGTAAATAAATAGATTAGAGATGAGGTTCATTCTAGAGGAGTTGACCAGATACTGATTGTATCTTTTCATGCCATTCACTTTAAGGTCAACTCTCTCTTTAGAGAGCTCTCTGGGGATCTTAGATCAGGATTACCTATACTGCTTTGGGTTAGTGTCTCTCAGTTCCTGATACCTCTGACTCTTGTTTACATTTTGGATGCTGAGAACTAGACCCAAAACTGCTTGGCTGCTTGGGAAGCCACTGAGCAATTCATTGGCATTCAGCAAATCTTAATTCCCTTATCTAGATCTGGTAACTTTGGACACAGTTGGAGAGCTAGTGAGAGTTGGGCAGTCTGTGGTTTTCTCCTCTTTAGTGACTTAGAAATTTAAAATGGTAGAAATAAAATATTTTAACATAATAGATCAATTTCTGAAATAATTTTATTCATATAACCTGTATACTATTCTAAAACTTTACAAACACATTAGTTGATCTTTACAAAAGTTAGTGCTCCTAAGACCTTTGCTTAAATTCTTTTTTTTTTTTTGGACCCGTCCTTTCAGTTTAGTAGTTTATATAATATGTAAACCTGTATGCAGTTGATTTACTGGAATGAGTGCATATTCCAGTTGACATCATTTCTTTGGACACCTGTTCCTAACTGTTCTATTTACTTCCCGTACGTGTGTGCATTTATGAATGGATGAAGCTTTTGAGTTCCCACTATGCACCAGGTATTGTTAA